ATCAAAACCACAATGAGATACCACATAACAGTGGTCAGAATGGCTAAAATGAACAACTCAAGAAACAACAGATGTTGGTGAGGATGTGGAGAAAGGGGAACCCTCTTACACTGTTGGTGGGAATGCAAACTGATACAGCCACTCTGGAAAACAGTGTGGAGGTTCCTTAAAAAGTTAAAAATAGAGATACCCTATGACCCAGCAATTACACTACTAGGTATTTATCCAAAGGATACAAACATAGTGATTCGAAAGGGCACATACACCCCAATGTTTATAGCAGCAATGTCCACAGTAGCCAAACAATGGCAAGAGCCGAGATGTCCATCGACAGATGAATGGATAAAGAAGTAGTATATATATACAATGGAATACTACTCAACCATCAAAAAAAAAATACTTACCATTTACTTCCATCAACGTGGATGGAATTAGTATTATACTAAGCAAAATAAGTCAGTCAGAAAAAGAGACATACCATATGATTTCACTAATATACGGAATTTAAGAAACAGAACAGATGAACATAGGGGAAGGGAAGGAAAAATAAAATAAGATAAAAACAGAGAGGGAGGCAAACCATAAGAGACTCTTAACTCTAGGGCACAAATTGAGGGTGCTGGAGGGGAGGTGGCGGGGGAAGATGCAGTGACTGGGTGATGAGCATTAAGGAAGGCACTTGATGTAATGAGCACTGGGTGTCATATGCAACTGATGAATAACTACCTGAAAATAATAATATACTATATATTGAAACTAATAATATACTATATGTTAACTAAATCAAATTTAAATTAAAAACTTTAAAAAAAGAAAAGAAAAGCAGGTCTCTGGGCCAGCAGCATCAGCATCACCTGGAAGTCTATTAAAAAGACAGAATATTAGGCCCCACTGCAGACCTACTGAATTAAATCTGCATTTTCACAAGATTCCTGGCTATCTATATATGCATTAAAGTTTGAGAAGATGTTCTAGACAACAAGTACTAAAGAAGCTTAGGATGTCAAGGGTTGACCAGTGACATACAGGTTTCAACACAAGACAACAACCTTTAATTAGTTTCATGAAGAATCTTCTGTATTAGTTTCCCTAAAAGTGCACGATTTCCTGGTTGCTTTATTTGCATTTAAGGAAGTCATTAGTGAAAACCTTATGTTGCTTATTTATGGAGATATGGAAGATAGAACACTCTTGGTCCAGGTCTAGCAGCACCAACCAGCTTTCCATACTTCCACTGCACAAGCATTCCATACTCTGGCATTGGGAGTAAAAGCTGCTATAGCCAGCCTTGACACAAATTTGGCAACATTTATCACGACCTCAACAATGATCATAGTGAACATCTGTCATTTATGCCAGCCCACTGCCCCTCCTTTTGGTAGCAGAATCACATTTTCCTTTTAAAAACTAATGAATTGTTGAACACTCCATCAAAAACTAACGATGTACCATATGTTGGCTAATTGAATATAATAATAAAAAAAAAAAACTATCTCCATTTTCATACTCTGATACTATCCCAGGACCCTGAGACCATGACCTGAGCTGAAGGGAGACACTTAACCAACTGAGCCACCCAGATGCCCCTCCTCTGCTGTTTTTAAAATTAGTTTGAAAAGGCTTTCTGTCACTTGTAGCTGAAAGAGTACCAATTAATACTAAATTAAGAAAATAATGGGTGAAATAGGTGATGGGGATTAAGGAGTGCACTCGTCATGATGAGCACTGGATTATGTATGGAATGATTGAATCACTATACTGTACACCTAAAATTAATATAAAACACTGTATGTTAACTATACTGGAATTAAAATTAAAACTTAATAAATAAAAAATAATCAGAGATACATATAAAGCTCTATGTAAGAGTTGCACTTTTATGGCCTCTTTTCCTTAAGTGTTTTACAAATAAAATGAAATACTGATGAGGAAAAGTGCAGCATTTAGGAAAATGGGGTGAAATCATTCCATTACCATTTTGTCTATTCTTTTAAATATCTTTTTGTTCCTCCTTAATTAACACTAGATGATTTTTCAAAGGGGGATTTTTTTGTTGTTGTCAACTGCCAAAAAATAAAAGGATGCTTTCAAATTCAAGAGCTGAAGCACTATTTACAATGGCAAAAAAAAAAAAAAAAGGAAATGCAACAATAAAAGATAAGTAAATTATGACACACTCATAAAATGAAATACTACGGTGACATTACAATCATTTTAGACTAAGAAAGATGGGGAAATGACTATAACATTTCATTGAATAAAAAAAGAAATTATAAAAAAATCATATGGTATGAACCTAATTTTTTAAAACATAAATATAACTACAGAGAGAGAGAGAGAGAGAAGAAAGACTGGGATGAAATATACCAAAAATGTCATTAAAAAGTAACTCTCATTAGTGGGATTATAAATCACTCTTTTCATTTTTTTATTATTTCTCTTAATTTCCAAACTTCTTGTTATTAACTAATATGCAATTTTTAAATAAGCAGTAATTCATGTAGGGGATAGATTTAATATCTCTTAAGGGAACCTTTGCTGGCAATAGTGTTCCTATTTCAAGATCCAAAAAATTAACAAATTAGGGATGAGAAGAACTGTTCAAATTTCTTTTTAATTCTTTTATAAGATATGAAGCAAAGGTGAAAATTGGAAGTTGGGAAACACCTAAGTATATAAATGGCATATATTAATAAATCATGTTAAATGACTCAGATAATAACCTCTTTTACTTAGTATTTATTTTCAGTAGTCATAAACAGTCTTAATAGTCTCTTAATAAATTAAATAAATAAATAAAAACAATCTCATAGTCTTATGAGGCTCAGCCTGAAAGGTTAAACTAAGAGAGAAATGATGGCAGTTGGTAATTCCATGAGCAAGAAATAGGATTTTAAGACGACACTGAGGGAAATCTGATGAAACAGAGTAGAAAAGGACCAGCCTGTGTTTTCCAGATACATTGTTCTGTATTCTATCAAGACTCAAAACTGGGATGCCTGGGTGGCTCAGTTGGTTAAGCGTCTGTCTGCCTTCAGCTTATGCCATGATCCCACGGTCCTGGGATCAAGCCCCGCATCCGGCTCCCTGCTCAGCGGGAAGCCTGCTTCTCCCTCTCCCTCTGCCTGCAGTTCTGCCGGCTTGTGCTCTCACTCTCTCTCGTGCTCTCTCTGGCAAATAAATAAAATCTTAAAAAAAAAAAACCTCAAAACTACTTATGTCAGCCAAATATAGCAGCAGTAAAACCCAGTGGAGAGTATCATTTGGGTAGGCTGGCAGGCCAGATTCCAAACGGAAAATCTTCAGAGCTGATCACAAAGGGGAAACAGGTAGGTGTGGCTACAAAAGGAAGGAAAATGAAACCTAGGGTGCCTGGGTGGCTCAGTTGGTTAGGCCCCTGCCTTCGGCTCAGGTCATGATCCTGGAGTCCTGGGATGGAGTCCCGCATCGGGCTCCCTGCTCAGCGGGGAGTCTGCTTCTTCCTCTGACCCTCACCTTCTCATGCTCTCTCTCATTCTCTCTCTCAAATAAATAAATAAAATCTTTAAAATTAAAAAAAAGAAATGAAACCTAGAGATCTAAGGATGGAGAAAGACGGAGTTGGCAGAGAACATGCAGTTGAGCTAAGCAGGTGGTGATAGGCACACACCAAAGAAAAAAGGATAGTTTTATTCCAAGGAAGCTGAATTTCCAAACTCAAGCCTTGACTCAAAAAACTGGCCCCCAAAGAGGATTTTTAGGGCACTGAAATTCTTCTGTATGATACTATAATGGTGGATACACGTCATTATACATTTGTCAAAACTCATATAATGTACAACACCAAGAGTGAACCCCATTGTAAAGTATGAACTTTTGATGATAATGATTTATCAGTATAGGCTCATCAACAGCAGCAAATCTACGACTCTGGTGCCAGATATTGATAATGGTTGAGATGAAGGTGGGGGGAGAGACAGGGTATATGGGAACTCTGTACTTCCCACTCAAATTTGCTGTAAACCTAAAACTGCTCTAAAAAATAGTCTATTATTTTTTAAATGCTTTTTGGTTCCAAAGAACTAAACCAACCTAGCTCCCAACCTTCCCCAAATTTTTAACCTTAAAATAAGTAGATGTGAATGATAGAAGCAGGTCTAAGTCCACCATCACTGTAGCAACAGAATCAATCAGGGTCTTCCAAGAAAGAGCAAAAAATGTGATGCAGGAAACCTGGGTGGCCTGGGTCGCTAACTGAGCTCTTTACCCACAACTGGACTCTCCATAAAGAAAACTGACTGTCTTTAAATGCCCTAAGAGGAACAAAATTAACATGCATAGAACATGATACAAACCACCTCGCAGCACAGTCTTTCAAATCCAACCCATCAAGGCAACAACAAATTTAGACTTCATCTTTAATCATTTGTTGTATGTTTCTTGAGTAATGGTAATGTGCTCTGTACACGGATTAGAACATACCAGACGAAACCCCAAATAAGAGGGAATGAATCTTGGGACTACTCTCTCTAAAAGAAACAGCCCATGTGGAAGGCATTAGGACTTACCTTCTGAGGCTGTGTACATGTTAAGTATTTCCCCTTTGCAAGCCCATCATTGTGTAAAAGTGCCAGAAGCACGTGTTGTGATAAGCACTGGGTATAATACGCAACTAATGAATCCTTGAACACTACATCAAAAACTAATGACATACTATATGTTGGCTAACTGAACATAATAATAAAAAATTAAAAATTTAAAAAATTAAAACAAAATAGAAGTGCCAAAACCACATTTTTAATAGTGAAAAAGGAAAAACAAAACAAAAAACTTTTTTTTTAGTTCTTTGATAGTGCTCCATAAATAAAGATGGAACTATATACCTATGTTATTCTACCCATTTTGTTCCTATGAACACGTTAGATAGCCTAGATATCTAGATTTAAACACCCTCCTCCCGCCTCACTCTGCCACTACATAACACTATAAAGAAATGTTTTTAAATGTTTTAAAACATTTGCCTTGTTTAAGGGGCGCCTGGGTGGCTCAGTTGGTTAAGTGTCCGACTCTTGATTTTGGCTCAAGTCATGATTGCAGGGTCCTGAGATTGAGCCCCAGGTCAGGCTCTGCGCTGAGCATGGAGCCTGCTTGAGATTCTCTCTCTCTCTTCTGGTGGCCTTCTCCCCTCTCTAAATAAATAAATAAATAAATAAATAAATAAATAAATAAATAAATAAATAAAAGTTATAAAAATAAAATAAAAATAAATAAAATACAAATAATTTGCCTTGTTTTCTGAAACAATTTCAAAGTATAACTACCTCAATGCTATAAAACATGCAGTTACAGCCACTGTTTTAATTTTCAAACACTTTGAACCCAGATTTTCAAGAGTCATAGAATGAAGTTTTATGTTTAAACATCTAAACTTAGCTTTCTTCCAGGAAAAAAAAGGAGAGGAGGTTGGAGGGGGATTAAGACTAAAACACTCTGATTTGCACAATTTGACAAAATCTTTCAAATTTCTCAATATATATGCTCACTGACCCAGCAATTCCACTTCTAGGAATTTTTCACAATATATTCACATGAATGTGTACATAAACGTGTAGTGCTGCATCTATACCAGTAAAAACTAGAAACAACATAAATGCTTACGAATTATTTAAATGAATGATGTACTTGCCATATTATACATCAGTTTTTTAAAAATGAGGTTGACATATCTATATGTTTTGCAATGAAAAGAGGTCCATCATATACTGTTAAGTGGGAAAAGGCAAATTACAAAATAATTTTAATGACTTGTATGGATGAAAATTTCTGGTAAAGTATACAGAAAAATGATACTGAATTGAGGAGTAAGAGAAATTTCGGTTTCTACTCTACTCATCTGTCTGCATTTTTTTCAAAATTTTTTACAAGGTTGCAACACTTTTGGAATTTCTTTTTAAATTAAAAACAAAACGCAAGAAGTCCAAATAAATATATCAGGTTGCAAAAAAATCATGGGTCCAATATATGTATGTAATGAATATAGACCATTATTATAATTTGCAAAATCCAAATAAATTCCTTGATTGCCCAGGTGGCATCTGAGCAAAGCCCCCTTGGATGTCTTCCCTGGAAAGAAAGCTTCCAAAATTAACACCAAACTTGCCTCAATTTCCACGGAAGCGTCAAACCTCCTCTGCGAAGTTCGATGTTAGGGAAACTCAGAAAAAGCTTCTCTAACCTTGCTGGCACCGAGCTCGGCGGAGAATGCACAAGGGCCGCGGAGCTGCGGCGGGGTCCTCAAGTCATCTGGCCTAGCGCTAGATCGCAGGCCGCTCCTCCCCGGTTGGCTCAGGCCCCGCCCACCCACCGCGGCCGCCCAGCTTTCGTTTCCCACTGAATGGAAAGTGAAACTCAGCGAGAGGCGGGCTGCGCCGCTACCTCGGCGCGGGGAGGAGGAGCGATGCACGCCCCCACCCGGGAGCTCGGGAGACCCAGCGAGCCGCGGGGGATTTTGGCTTTTAAAGATATATGCTATGCTTCTGGTACTTGCCCTTTGCCTACGATTCCAAGAATACATGGGTCTTTTTATCTGGCTTTTTATGATCATGCATCATTGAGGAGGGCATGTAATGTGATGAGCACTGAGTGTTACAGAAACTGATAAATTATTGAACACTACACGTGAAACTAATGATGTACTGTAAGTGGGCTAAGAGAATTTAAATATTAAAAAAAGGATATGGCTTACAGTTGTTTGGTGTTTCATAGTATACATAACATTTTGTCTTTCGTAATTTCTGAAATTGTGTATCTTAAAATCGATGACTTGTAGATTCAATGAAATGTGGCACACAGGTATAAAGTCCTTATTCCTTTGTTCTGCTGCTGTTCTGCGGAGCCAGCAGAAGAGGACAGACATGGTGAATAGGGGTGCACAAAGGGTAAAGAAAGTAAACTGTTTATGCCTCAGAACTTAAGATGGGAAGATCTAACAAGATGGTGCTCTCTGAAAGCATTGGTTGACATTTCTCAAAACGAGGCAAGTAAGAGTTTAAATTGAAACTGCGTAATAGTTGCTTCAAAAGAAAGTCCCTTAAGCGTCTGCCTTTGGCTGGAGTCATGATCCTGGAGTCCTGGGATCAAGTCCTGCAGCCGGCTCCCTGCTCAGCGAGGAGCCTGGTTCTCCCTCTCACTCTGCCCCTCCCCAGCTTGTGCTCTCTCTCACTCTCTCTCAAATAAATAAATGAAATCTTAAAAAAAGAGGAAGGAAGGAAGAAAAAGAGAAAGAAAGAAAAAAAAAGAAAGAGAAAGAAAGAAAGGAAGAAAGAAAGAAAAAGTTTGTGCCCTAAGAAGCATTTTCTGTAGCTTGCATGGTTTCGCTGAAAATTGAAGATGGATTTCCTTCTCTTTTTCCTTTTTAATTTGAAGTGCCAGACGAGAAGCCATACCTAACTGCCTCACTTGAAAATTCTGCTTAAAAATTTAGTCATAGAGGAAGACGTTTGGCTGACTTTATGGGATTATCTAGTTCTCCTTTACTGTGGAAAGCTACTTTTAGAGAAAAGTTCTTTGTACAAGTTGAGGAACAATTTATAGAACCTGATGCTAATTTTTGTTCTAGGAAAAGGACAGGCTTTGTTGCATGGGATAAGGGCAAGTGGTGTTTTAAGAAAAAGGGGGGAAAATCAATGACTAATAAAATATGTATTAGTACTTCACATAGCTCATTTCTCCACAAACACTTCTGGTTTCATGTGACTTGTTTGCTCGTTCTCCTCCACAACTCTTTCCCTTGTCTATTTTCCTCTGCATTTTATCAAGATATGCTTTTTTTATTTTTAAACTTTATTTTATTTTGTATGGTTCCAAAAATAAATTACGAGTTTTCTTTTTAGGTGTGTAGATTGAATCTCTCCCATAGAACTCCTTTGGGCAAACACAATCTTTTAAGGAGTGAGTGGAGATAAATTGAAGCAAACAGAACTCTTAAGTTTCAATTTCCTGGCATGGATTTCAGGGTAGAACTAAAACAGATTATGAATTGGCATCTGTTACCTTTCCTAAATTATTCTCTATCCTCTGGCAATTTGTTGCCTTAATGGAGGACTTTTTTTAATTAAATATTTTATTTTTGGAAAATAAATTTAAACATACAGAGAAGTTACAAAAATATTACAATGACCCCATATACTCTTTACTCACTGTTAACATTGTGGCACAGTTGCTTTATTACTTTTTTCTCTTGTGTACACACACACACACACACAAACCCTGTATGTATATATTTTAAGTCAGTGTTCTTTTGTTTGTTGCTGAACTACTTGAGAGGAAATTGCATATCAAGATTCACCACCCATAATAATCCAATGCATCTCCTAAAACCAAAGAAATTTTCTTACATAAAGTGAGGGCAATTGTCAAAATCAGGAAATTTAATATTGATAAAATACAATTTTCTAACACATACAGTAAATATTTAAATGTTGACAATTATCCCAACTTGTCCTTTATATTAACTCTTTTTTACCAACACAGAATCCAAGCTGTAATATTATTCATTTGGGTTTTTTTATTATTAAATATTTTATTTTGAGATAATTGTAGGGTCACATGCAGTTGTAACAAATACAACAGAGAAATCGCAGTTTTCCTAACCTGTGAAACGATAGCACACGTCACAACCAGGATATTGACACCGATGTAGTCACTGTCAATGCAGGACATTCCCATCACCACAAGAATCCTTCATGTTGCACTATTATACCCACACTTAACTTCCTTCCAGCCCTGCTCCCTCCTCATCTGACATTACTCATCTGTTCTCCTTTTCACTAATTTGTCATTTCAAAAATGTTATGTATTTGTAATCACACAGTGTATAAACCTTTGGAAAAGTTTTTTCTTTTTTTCCATGTGGTATAATTCTCTTGAGATTTATCCAGATTGTTGAATATATCAATAGTTTGCTCCTTTTTATTGCTCAGTAGTATCACATTGCACCACAGTTTAACAATTCATTTGTTGAAGAATATCTGGATTATTTCCAGTTTTTTTATAGGATTCAGAGGGAGAATTCAGTGATTCATCAGTTGTATACAACACCCAGTGCTCATTACTTTAAGTGTGCTCCTAAATGCCCATTACCGAGTTATCCCATTCCCCCATCCACCTCCCCTCCAGCAACACTCAGTTTGTTCCCTAGAGTTGAGTCTCTTACAGTTTGCCTCCCTCTCTGCTTTTATCTTATTTTATTTTTCCTTCCCTTCCACTATGTTCATCTGTTCTGTTTCTTAAATTCCACATATGAATGCAATCATATGGTATTTGTCTTTCCCTGACTGACTTATTTCGCTTAGCATAACACCCTCTAGTTCTATCCACGTCCTTGCAAATGGCAAGATTTCATTCTTTTTGATGGCTGAGTAATATTCCTGTGTGTGTGTGTGTGTGTGTACACACAACTTCTTTACCCATGTCAAGGACATCTCAGGTCTTTCCATTGTTTGGCCATTGTGGACATTCCTGCTATAAACATTGGGGTGTAGGTACCCCTTCAAATCTCTATGTTCGTATCCTTTGGATAAATACTTAGTAGTGCAATTGCTGGGTCATAGGGTAGCTCTATTTTTAACTTTTTAAGGAACCTCCACACTGTTTTCCAGAGTGGCTGTACCAGTTTGCATTCCCACCAACAGTGTAAGAGGGTTCCCCTTTCTCTGCATCCTTGCCAACATCTGTTGTTTCTTGAGTTGTTCATTTTTGCCATTCTGACCAACTGTGAGGTGGTATCTCATTGTGGTTTTGCTGTATTTCCCTGATGCCGAGTGATGTGGAGCATTTTTTCATGTGTCTATTGGCCATTTGTATGTCTTCTTTGGAGAAGGGTTTGTTCAGGTCTTCTGCCCATTTCTTGACTGAATTATTTGTTTTTTGGATGTTGAGTTTGAGAATTTCTTTATAGATCTTGGATACCAGCCCTTTATCTGATAAGACATGTGCAAATATCTTCTCCCACTCTGTATGTTGTCTTTCAATTTAGTCGACTGTTTCCTTTGCTGTGCAGAAGCTTTTTATCTTGATGAAGTCCCAAAAGTTCATTTTTGCCTTTGTTTGCCTAGCCTTTGAAGACTTGTCTAGCAAGAAGTTGCTGGGGCCAAGGTCAAAGAGGTTGTTGTCTATGTTCTCTTGTAGGATTTTGATGGATTCCTGTCTCACATTTAGGTCTTCCAACCATTTTGAGTCTATTTTTGTGTTTTTTTCTGGTTTGTTTTGTTCTTTTTCTGTTGTTGTGGTTGTTATTGTTGTCTTTTCTCTTTCTTTCTTCTATTCTTTTCTGGACAAAATGATGAGATGGAGAAACTCACCCCAAAAGAAAGAACAAGAAGTAGTACTCACTGCCAGGGATTTAATCAATATGGATATAACTAAGATGTCAGAACTAGAATTCAAAACAATGATTATAAAGATACTAGCTGGGCTTGAGAAAACATAGAAAAGAGTAAAGAATCCTTCACTGTAGAAATAAAAGAATCTAGGG